GACCAAATTACACCAAGTTGCTTGCCTGGGGAAGTTCTAATTAGTTTTCTGGGAATCCTCCACGTTTTTACGAAGTAGGGATATAACTTGAGTTGGATCAGAAGCACCAAAAACCGAACTTCCTGCCACAATGCAGTTTGCTCCGGCTGCAGCAGCCATATCAATTGTTGAAGGCCCTAAACCACCGTCCACCTGCAAAACAGAATCAAGGTTTGAAGAGCCGAGACCATACAACAATAAACTAAGCATCTTCCCTAATAAATTTGGAGTTTAATCTTAACCTACCAATTCATTTCAGTGCTAAATCAACAAGAAGATATTGATGGTCACTAAACTTTTACAGAAATTTCATTTTGGTACTGAACTTCATATTGTCATATTAGTTTTTCCATTAGCCAAACTATTGGGATGGATGGAATGACCAGGTTGTAATAAATATTCAAGCCTGGTGACCAACTCGAAACAAAGTTCAAGTTTAATGACCTACTTAGTTCACGTGAAAAGTACAGTAATGTTTTTAAAATCCTAAATCGTTAAGAGTAGAGACCATCATGGGAAAATGGGCAACTCTTTACCCTCATCATTACACCTCAAATGTCTCGAGATTATTGAGAATGCTTTTCACATAAGTATGCGATAAAATTATCCGTTACTTGCGATCAAAGTTAAGATGGGTTTTCTTTGGTGAGTTTGCTATCAGTTTCGTTGAGGCTGGGTAAACTCATAACTAACAATATCGAGTACAGATACAAGAAAGCTAACAAAATCCAACTGTCAATAAGACCAGAACTCACCTCTATGTCTAGAGATGGATACTTCTTCCGCAGTGTACGTACCTGTAATCCCATGGATGAATCATGCTCTTGTGCTAATAAAAACAAACAGCCACAATCAATTAAATGCCGAAAAACAACAGTTGTGAACCTTATCCATCATTTCTGGCATGAACTTTTGCCCACCAAATCCAGGTTCAACAGTCATGACGAGAACCAATTCCACAGGATTTTCATCTTCAAGCTGCAAGGCACGAACAAGAAACAAATCATATAGGGAAGGCCTTTGCAGAAAAGTATTACTTTTTCATTCACAAGCATTTTCACTTGTACCATTTTGGCAGCAAATACGGTAAAACGGATGGAAAAATATATAATGTAAAAAAAAAAAAAATCTTGTCCATTGTATTCTTAAGTCCAGGACTACATACTAGCATACCCTTTGTGTTTTCCTTACTAAAATGAAGTGTCAAAGCAACAAGGACATTGAAAACTTAAAAATCAGACAATATTGAACCGGTTTCACAAAACAATCCCCAACAAAAAGGAGTAGCTTACAAGTGGAAACACGTCTTCAATAGGCGATCCCGGCTTCAGAGAAACTCCGGGCGTCATGCCCTTTGACTTGATCAGTTGCACAAGTTCTTTCCAATTATCTGACAAAGATTCTTAATTCTTATGAATAGTGGGCTAAGAACAGACATTTAAAACAATGGTAATTTAGAATCTACATAGGGTTCACATTGCTAATGTCATTGCCTAACATAAATTGTGCAAAAAGATAGCTAAAAATGGAAAAATTCAAACAATCAATCCACCTTTAGAGACTTCAATGTGAAAAGTAAAACCCGAGGCACCAGCTTTTCCTAATGCTTCGACGTAATCAAGAGGATTTGTGACCATGAGGTGGCAATCCAAATAGGCCCTGAAGAAACATTATA